AACACCCACCCAGCCACCTACCAACCATATGACCGCATGACCGCATGGCCTTCAAGGAGCTCTCATTGAAAGCCTTGGCAAAGTCTTTCAAGAAACCTTCCAGAGCGCCGCCGTCTCCATCGATGTTCTCCAAGTCGGCCCCAGTGATGACGAAGGGCTCTGCTGTCTCCAAGAGCCATTCCTTATCCCAAGCCGTGGCCATGGTCATGGCCACGCAATCGCTTGCATCCAGCTGGAAAACGGCATGGCTGGCAACGTGGCCCTTTCCATCGCTGTTGGCCCGACGCTTCTTGCCGACCTTCTTGGCCTCAGTCTCAGCCTCCTTGGCTCGTTTTCTGCGAAGCGTTTCCGCTGCACTCACTGCCCGCTGCTTGGAGGACCGGAGTTCAGCGACAGCTGCTTTGCAGGATGCAAGCAATGTGTTGAACAGCTTCCTAGGTGCAGTCGCGGCCTCGTTCGCGGCCTTGAGATCTGCTGTGCTGCTGCAGGTCCGGAAGTTCGAGGCGAGATCGGAGAAGACTCGCAGCACTGTCAGTTTTTCAAAGCCTGCACACGGCCCTGCACGAGCCAAGCTTGCCTGATCACGGGACTGGCAACGAGGGCCGGAGCCTGCCACGCTGCCGGTGGCATCGTCATCTTGAAGAGCCTGGGCTAACAGATCCTGGAGCTTTGTCTCGTCGTCATCTTTGACTGCCTGCAGCCACTCTTGTCTTCGCAAGACCACGGCAAGCTCATCTTGGAACGCCTGCCGAAATAGGACACACGGGACATACGGATATAGTTTCAAGGAGTATCGAAAAAAAAGCTTGCAGCCTAAAAAATTGGAAAAAAATGAACCCTTGTTCTACTATGCTTGCACTGCTCTAGCACTCAGCACACTCTCTCTCTCTCTCGCCAGCAACATACACGAAACAAAACATGTAACGACACGGCAGGCCTTGGCATCCTCAGGTTTGGCACGAAACTCAACCACCACAGCAGCCATAGATTCCATCTGGCTGTCCATGTTCTCCTTGAGTGTTTGCACACCACGATTGAAGTCCTTCTCAGCCCTCAAGTTCTTGGTGTCAGCATCATACCACTTGCCGCTGTCCTTCCGGGTCACGGTCTCGCTCTTGCCTCCATCTGTCGCAGTCCCTGCCGAAGTTGGCTCAGCTGGCTCTTCATCATCGGATGCCTCGCTGCCGCCGCTGCCACCAGCGCCTCCGCGTGCCTTGCCCTCCGAAGACTCAGAGTCACTTTCCTTGCCGCTGCCATCTTTCGAAGCAGCCTTGGCAGCCTTGGCCTTGTCTTTGGCCGAGGCCGGAGGCAAGGCCTTGGCCTTCCCACGGCCACCACGTCGCGACATCTTCTCCTTGGCATCCTGCACCATGTCGTGAAGATCTGGTGCCACCAAGCCTATGGCGGAGCCAAAGCCACTGCCACCCGTCTCTGCCGCATTCCTGATGCTCTCGAAGGCCTCGAGGGGACCTTCGGCCTCCATCGCAGCATCATCGAACACCAGCTGGCGACGGGCCGCAATCTGATCCTCGCTGGCCTTCTTCAGGGTCTCCTGCATCTCGTATCGTCTGCCTTGGCTGACATCAGCATACCTCTCGCCGACATCTTTCGTGTGGACGTAGAGCCGCAGGAAGCCTCGGGGTCCCCGCTCATCAGATGCTCGCTCGCCGCGGGCTGCTTCGGCTTTCATCTGCTCCCACATGGCTTTCGATTCTTCGGATGTCAAAAATCCCATTTTGGCACCGGCGGCAAACTCGTAGAACTCCCGTTCCCACATCATTTCTCCCGTCGCGGAGCCCTTGAACCCCTGACGTTTCTGCCAGTCCACGATGAACGAGGTCACTGCGAACTTCACCTTCTTGCCGGTCTTCTCCTGCTGCAGACGATGCTGGCCATAGGCTTTGTTCAACGCCTGAAAGGCCTGAGGCTGCTCACTCTTCAACTTCTGCACAGCGACTTTGCATCCTTGATTCTTTGCTATGCGGAGGAGGGAGCGAGAGTTGTTAAAGCACGACTTGCAGCGGTTCTGGTCCTCCCAGAAGTCCGCACTTGGCAGGCTTTTCCCGCACTCGCTGCACTGCACGAAGCCTTGCTTGGGCTCCTTGGTCTTCTTGCCACTCTTCCTTTGCCCCGCGTTTTTACGCTGCTTCTTTGGTGGTGTCTGGACGACAGGCTGGTGTGCCTCATGATCATGATCAGGGATGCCTAGCTCGGCATCGACATCACTCTGCAAAGCTAAAGCCATGGAGCTAGGCTAAGCTTCAAAGACCCTGCAGCGGCCCAGTGAGCACTTCGGCGGCAGCTGGCAGCTTGCTTTTCTGCCAGCAAAGAAGGACAGCCTGCTTGAGCCTGCTTGAGCCAAAATAACCAACTGCTTTCACATTCACATGACACAAAAATCACAACACAACAACACTGGTAACAACACACGCAGCCCGGCCAGCCCAGCAGTGTGCACTGGAATGAATGAACTACTGCACTGCACGACCTGTCTAGGCCATTAAGTCTTGTCTTCAGAAAATCTTGGAAACGCAGGTTTTCAGGATTTCGGGCTGTTTTCGTGGACTTCCTGTCATGTCGCTTCACAACGACCACATGCTGGGCATTTCTGCCTCAAAACGCTTGAAAACCGAACCGAGGCTGCCAGCCGGGCGGTTTGAGAAGAAAAACAACCCACACCAACCCATTGCTGCCAACAAACATCAAAACCATCCCCTTGTCACGCGAGCACCCCCACCAACACCAGAACCATTCGCCGAGCCAACCCCGAGCCACCCCCGAGCCACCCC